GAAGTCCTATCCAAGTAATAGCTGGAAATAAGTTGCTTGATTCTTCTATCCCCAAAGACAAATTCTTGTAATAGCAAAAGTGTAAAATCCAACAAAGAGAGGCTTGATACTTACAGATACTCCAGCCACTTCACAGTGGGGAAAAAAAAAGACAGACTGACAGTGAAACTATTTGGGGTAAATAATGAGGACAGACTTCTCAGAAATAAACTGGCATGGATTTGGCCATGAGATGTCAGATTCATAACTTGGGAAATGAAAGCCTCTATATACTAGAGAGCAGGCCCTAGCCTAGCAGTGGCAATTCAGCCTTCTGAGCCACAGGGATTTCTTTATAAGCAGTGGTATATTAAATGTGGGATCCAGTAGGCCAAAGGGACAGCAGTAAAACAGAGACAACGTGCAGTGACCAAAAATGAGCTAAAGCCAGACACTAATTACTTCACAGTAATTTTGTTTTCCTGCAGAGTTGACTAATATCTCTTGCTCCTGGAAGGTAAATGCTTTTCCTATCACTTAGGTTTTACACCTAGTACAATTTTTTTTTTAGTTTAAGTGAAACTGGGGAGAAAGGAGGTTTTGTTTATTTTTCCTTTTTCAATGTAAAGATGAGGGGTGGATTGTTATACCGTGCATGTAGCTGGAGTGGGCTGAGGAAGAGCACTTTTAGACAGGCCTAGGTCAACAAAACAGGTTCATCCATCACATCTGCCAGAATGGAAAGATAGTTGTCTCGATGCTCGGTCAATCCGAGACCTTTCTGCTGAGTCAACTGACAAGATTGCAGATACTTGTGACAATGAGGATGCTTATCCACTAGTAAGTGGACTGAAGACCACCAACATGTTTGGCGGTGGGTCCTAAGCCTGGAAAGCTCTAAACTCTTGAAGAGCAGCATATTGCTGTTTGCAGTCCTCCTCCCCTTATCCATGGAGAATCGTTACCAAAAACTAAGCTGGAATGAGATAAAAGAACAAAAGGAAGCGATTCTGAGGTGCTAATGGTGGAAGGTGTGAGAGTCAGTAGAAAGTACAGTAAAGAAACCCATGACAAGTCATGATAAATGGGTCGTTATAAAATTCATGTTTAGGCTGCACCAGTCTGGGGATAATGCCATTCGTCATGGCAACACTGGGGCACTAATGAGCCCTCATTGCATATTCATGGCTTTGGCGCCTCTCTCCTCTCTCTGCCTCCCTCCCACCCCGAACCAATGCCTGGTAAATATCTCCACCTCAAGCTGAAACTCGACTTAGGCTGCTTTTTTTTTTTTTTTTATTTGTTATGTTGCAGCAATTACACTGTAAAAGTGCTGCACAAGATTGATTGCTCTGATCTGTAGTTCAATTGTAAATTAGAATACACATCCCCCTGGGGACACACGGCCCCTATTTGTGATTAAGAAAAAAGCCCCATAATAGACTAATAGCTAAAGTTCTCTCTCTTTTACTTTCAGGCAATTAGCTTGATGAAATGGCCTCTTTTTGTGTACCCTGGAAGTGTAAACCGATATCATAATGAAGTATATGATGTTTATTCTATTATTTTCACCTTGCCATGTATGCAGGAATGCATAAATAATGGCTGCTTTGTCTAGTACATTTACTGATTCAGAACTAAACTCTGTCTTAAAGATGCAGCATGTGATCCCATAGCCTTATGTTAAGCTGGACACTGTGACTAGTCCCTATAAAAACTAATGTTCCGCCCAAAGAAGTTGGAGACCATTTTTAGTCAGGTGATTAAATACTGTTTGCAGGACACTTTCATTTATGATGAACCTTAATTGGAAAATCCTCCTAATAACCTTCTGAGGGGAAAAAAAAAAAATCTCCATTTTACAGGAAGGAAATCTGAGGGGGAGATGCTGAACACGTTACACAAGCCCACACAGGACCTTAATAAGTGCTTAAGAAATCCTACCTCCTTGAATGTTTTTTCAGGCAAGGAGAAACTCCCTCTCCTCTCTCTTGTAAAGAGTTATTAATGCTGTCCTGGGTGGGTCATGCAGTGCCTCTGACCTTAACTCACCTCAGAGATGTACAGCTCCGCGGTGTCACAGTTGTCTTCATTCCCATGTGACATCCATGGCCAAAGCTCTTTCACCTAAATCCGAGGTGGACATGGTCATGCCCACGTTCAGTATCATGTGTTGGATGCTGGCTTTCCCAAGGCTCAATTTGAGCTGTCAGTCTGAGCAAATGAGTCACGTTGTGCAACAGTGTTATAACACAGGGACCGTGTTCGTGCAGTTGAGCTTGAGATAAATATCTGGGAAGAAAAGTGTCATGTGATGATAGCTCTGGGCATGTCTGCTTTGTGAGGAAAGGTGCTTCTACATTAGCCTTTCACTTTGGCCCAGGAGTGCACTTTTGAAGTGAATCCTCCAAATGACCCTGCTTACCCTGTCCCACCAGGCCAGGGAGCCTCGGAGCACGCAAAGGGAATTCTTTTGTGTGAAATCAAACCGAGTGGTGTGGTCTGGGAGCTCCAGCAGCTAACGGGGATTCAGTCCATGGGAACATGCTAGGGCTGGTCTGAGTAAACCTCTGACACGACCTGGGGCCAGCCCCTGCTCTCCAGTGCACAGTGTAGATGTACCTTTATTTGCCTATTTGCTAAGCAGAGCAGGGTTCTCATCCAAGGAGTTGTGAGAAACTCGAAGGACATGTGAAATGGCCTGCAACTCCTGCCTGAGGAAACACACTGCTTTCTGTATCACCCCATCAGTTTGCCTGCAATAGAAATATTTCCATTTAGTTTAAATTCTGTGTGAAAGAGGTTCTGAGGGGGAACATAACAGAGCTTGGAAACATTTTGCTAGGAAGCACTACCAGTGCAAACCTTCAAAGGGTAACTCTGTACATGGCTACAAAACCATATTCTGTTTAAACTTGTTCATCATTGTCTTCTTGCATGACAGCCCTGGCATTTAAAATATGTTAGGGGTGACACAATACTTTCACCTGGTGCAGACATATATCACTGGAAGGATGTTCTCATAAACAAAGTGCTGCAGGCTACGATCTTATCATTCTCCTCTTCCTTCTTCTCAGCTCAGTTCAATGACAAACACGTATTTCTCTTCTTTGCTCCAGTTTTCTGCTCCACAGAAGCCTGGTGCTGGAGCAACAGGTGATGTTGCAAATCAGGAATGACAAGCATTGGTGGTGGCCTGGTGGGGGGAAGCAGCATCAGAGGGGGCAGCAAAGACGCAACAAATTTTGTGGTGCTCCAGCTGGTGCAACTTCGTGGCATGAGCAGAAGTGCACTCACGTGCATGCCTGCACACGAGTGGGTTTTTTTTTTTTTGAGAAAGACAAAGCAAATTAGAGTGTTCATATGTAATTAGCTGACTATTAGTGTGGTTCAGCCAAGGCAATAGGCAAACAGTTAACTTGGAGATAGCTCGCAGATAAAAGGGCTGAGGAGGGTGTTCTGGGGAAAGCTGGAGGTAATAGTTCAGAAGATAAATTCCTGACAAATTGAGCAGGCATCTCAGAATGTTCTTGCCCTACACCACTAGCACAGTGAAGCTATACAGGCCTTCCTTCCTTCTTTCCCCTACTAAGCTTAACCCTTCCCGGCATCCAAGGTATCTTTCTCCTTGGGCAGCTCACTTCTAAATTATTTAAGAATTATAAGCATCAGTTTGGACTAAAACCATGAAATTTCCTGCTCATGCTTCCTGCCCTCCTTCTTGTGCCAGCATGTGAAACAGAAGCTACTACCCTTGTAGAGGCTGGAATATCCCCAGCTATTTATTTGAGAATGACCAGGTCCAATAAAAACATTATCATTTACCATAAGTAAGCATCACACTTGGGGAGAAACTCAAAGAGTGTCCAAGTTCAAGTCTTTGCAACATCTATGAAAATGTGGGTGTTTTAGTAAATCTTTGTGCTAAATGAAAATGTCATTATAATTTTCTCTCATTTTATAGCTGACAGGGAAGTGCTTTTTTCTGTCCTTTGGGAGTTTTCAAGTTTTCTTTTTTTTTCAGCTAATTCTGTGTCTAACCAATAAGCTGCTAAAAAGTAAAAAAATCTGAGCTGTTTGCTTCAGCAGTTTCAAAACATTTCAATTTTTTTGCTTTCACTTATAAATTAAAAATTAAAATCAAAACATATTTCAAAGCAAATAAATGTTCACTTAGAAAAAAATATATCAGGACACTTGCAATTATTTTGAAAAGTCTTTAACATTTTTTTTTTCAATTGAGAAGCCCCATGAAAACTTCATTATTTAATCCAAACCTTTTTGCCTGTTTGGCATTTTTCAGGACAAATTTTTCATGGAAAACCCTAGACATAATTCCCTTTTATGATCAATTCAGTATATCAGAGTGTTGTTGTTTGGGATGACTTCTGAGGAGGAATAGTTGAGAATTTCATGCTGAGTTGATCCAGTACTGAAATTCTCAAATATTGCTGAAATTATTCATGCTTCTGAGTATCCATTCATGGAAAAGCCTGCATTTCTCAGAGCCTGTGGCTCCTTTCATTCCTCTCAAATAAGATTGATCTAAAGTGTTTCTGTTGAAGTAAAAAATTATCTTGGATTTTTGCACAACTTGTACACTATTTCTTTGTCAGTGTGTAAACTCCATAGCAAGTCTGTTAGAACTTTGTCCTGCAATGAAAGTGCATACTTGATGTTGCAGACTAAATGTTCTCGTATTCTGTCATGCCAGACACAGAATTCACCAAATAGACGGAAGAACTTGCACTGTTGGGGTGGGTTCAGCCCTATTTACTAAAATACATGTTATTTTTTGCTGACAATAGATCACTTCTAAGCATACAGTTAGAAACTTTTGGTACACAGCTGGTTTTAACCCCCAAAGAAAATTACCACTTGCTACTAAGAAAATTTAATGCTTGTTTGTTCAAGCCTCCTGTAAGCATTTCGTCATGAGCAAAAGTTGGAGTAAATTCTCTGCGGAAGAGATGTTGAACCAAGAGCTCAAGATTGTGTTGATGTTTCTGTTCATCTTGAAGGAGGGAGCCTTCTGCTGTAGATCTCAAGTGATGCTCAAGGGGAAGAACAGCATGTACAAGGAGGGGAGCCAAGAGCCTGCCACTAGAGATAAACCCTGGGGACAGTGTCAAGGTAAGGGCCCTCACCAACCACTCAGGAAATGTTTTCTTCCTGACTCTTGCTGCCCTGCTTACCTTCTTCCCAAGGTCATTTTCCTCATCCCACCTTGCAGAACAACAGGGAAAACCTGAAGTTTTACACACGTTTCTGGGCAGGAGGTTATCTTGCCTAGAAGTAGCAGTTGGGTGAGACCAAAGGTCCTGCCATCCCCTGACCATCTCCTGTGAGGAGCAACTGAGGGAACTGGGAGTGTTTGGAGGAGAGGAGGATCAGGGGGGACCTTATCACTCTCTAACAACTCCCTGAGACAAGTTTGCAGTCAGCTGTGTGTAAGTCTCTTCTCCCAGGGAACAAGAAATAGAACAAAAGGAAGTGGCTTCAAGTCACACCAGCGGAGGTTCAGATTGGATATTCAGGAAAATTTCATCACTGAAAGGGTGGTTCAAGCACTGGAACAGGCTGCCCAGAGAAGTAATGCAGTCAACATCCCTGGAAATTGTTCAAAAAATGTGTAGATGCGGTGTTTAGGAACATGGTTTAGTGGTAGACCTAGCAATGTTGGGTTAATGGTTAAATCTTGATGTCCTTAGAAGTCTTTTCCAACTTTCATGATTCCATGATCCTATGATCTCTGTGGCAGAAAACCCCCAGCAGATACATGGAAAAATGTCAGAAGTCAAAACTAATTCTTCTCATGAGGTATTCTCCTTATTCCTACCACTCAGTGCATTACAGACTGACAACAGAAGTTGCATAAACCAAGAATGTTTAATGGTATTCTAGCCTGATTATATTTTTGGTATTCTGTGGCAGAAAATCCTACAATTTAATTGTGCTGCACGACAAAAAATTTTATGCACTTTAAACCTCTTTTGCTCCTTGTATTAACTTAGTCTATAAATATTCCCCTCTTCAGAATGCTCTTCATAACGTTTGTCACAGTATAAACCTCAGTCATCTCCTTTCAAAGAGTTCTAAATTTGTCTAGTTTTCCTTTGAATGGAAGCAGATACATACAATTACTGACAAGACAACCACTATCAAACCCAACTCTCGTTACTGAGACTGAAACGCTTCCAAAAATTAATTATTTAAAATAATCCAAACAGTGCAAATATCCAAAGATCAGGCAGATCTATGAAACTTGCCTGCAGCAAAATCATGCAATTAGAATCATGCTCATAAGTGTTGCAGTCTTAAAACATTAATAGATCATTTTAATGGAAGGAGTTATTAAAATTGTATTTGATTTGCATTATTATAACGCTGAATGCACTATGGAAAACTGAGTTCATGAGCGAGGTACAGCACAAACCAGAGTCTTATTATCTGAGCTGTAACTTTAAAATAGACCATGCTTCACAGTTCTGCCTGAATTTTCTTTAGTTTTATTTCTTTTCTAAATTGATAAGAACTCCAGCTTTTATATTAGAAATAGAAAATGAGGAGGAGGATAAGAAAATAGATGGAGACTGAAATAAAGACTGAGAAAAGCAACCTGAGGAAAAAACAATCCTTTCCAAAGTGAGTAATTTTTATCATAAATGAGATGTATTGTTGTGATCATAACCACTATCAGAAGTCCCATGAATTGCAGGGTTTCTGTAGATGATTTAGGAAGAAGTTGCCCCAAATGTGGAAGCAATTATAAAGAAATTCATGACTCTTTAGTAAGCATTCCTTGTTTTATTTCTGTTACAAATAGACTGTAATTTGTGGATCTCCATCTGACATCTTTTTATTGGGCACTTACCCTCCCTGACCTGTTTATAAAATTCCCCATTTCATTAGTGGGACATCACCAGCAAATCTGATGCACAAATATCTCTTTTTATCCAGTTGGAAGCAGAGTCTGTTGGAGTTCATGGAATAATTTCAGTCATTTCTAACAGACTCAGGAATAAACCCGCAAGGGTTAAAAGAATATATATAACCATAATTACAAAGTGGAAAAAGGAATACATCTTCTTTGCAACCGAGATATTTTTAGGGGTTTTGTTCTTTAGAATCCCTGTACAGCTATGTCCCTCATGCACAGTTGTCAAAAATAGTGTTTAGGCATTTAGACTAGAGTTGATTTAATCCAGTACAGAAGTGTGCTCTAAATTTTTCAGGGCAGTGCAAATGTGTAAAAATGGTGTCTTCATGTACAAAAGCTCCGTTTCACTTAGAAGAAACATGCCGATAAATTAAATAAATGAGAGTCATTCTATTAAACATAGAAATAGTGTCTTATGGACAAAAATATCCTTGATCGTCTGAACTTAAAATATGTTTTAAAATTCCATGTTCAGATCCTGAGCAGGTGTAAATCATCACAGAAATTATGCTGTTACACTTTACATGATATTACCAAATTGTCTTGCTGGTAATTAAGAATATCCTCTATGGAATAAGGACCAATGACAGGAGAAAGTATAAGTTGATATTGTCTCAGCACGCATAAGTGGTAGACAGAAATATTCATGTGCATAATCTTATACCTTGCCTACATGATACCCAGTGGGCTAAAGTAATAGTGTACAGAATTGTCTTGGAAAAGACGATTCTCAACAGAAACTAAAAATCTTATGAGTTGTCTGTGTTTCTCATAATTATATGTGGCAAAAAATGAAGATAAAACTAACTGGCATGCTCTTGGAAAATGTTTCTTTAAAAATGCTTCTTTAAACTTCCAACATATTATACCCAAACGTTTTTCAGGCCCAATTTTTCAGTATTTCATCCCAAGAAAATCAGCATTTCTTTCTCCCTTTCTTTTCATGGGTCTGTTCTGTTTGTAATCTACAGCCCAGGGAAATTTATGCAATTCCTGTTAGTCAGGAAGGTAATGAAGTCGTTCTGATCAAACATGAAATTTTTGTCCTGAATTTCTGGTGTGAATTTCAGCAGGAAAGGCCGCCTGGGAATTCAACAGCCACTTCCATGAAGAGCCAAACAAGCCACTCTGTCTGCTACAACACAGCTCCTTTAACTTACCAACATAATGAGACTTTTCCAGAATCAAACTTTTCTTTAAAAAGCCAGTGCTTCCCTTCCTTGGTATTAAAAGTGAACCTCTTCTGATTCTTGTGAAAATTATTTTTAACAGCTTCCTTGAGGAGATGTCCATTCTGAGTGACATATTCGAGGAATTCCTCAAGGCTGGAATTTCAGGTGTTCATGGAACATGCTCTGACCTCTGTGTTCAGCTCATGGCTTTCCCCAGTATACTTTGAGCTCATTTTCAATTCCAGATAAGTCACTATGGGGATGTTAAGTCTAAATTCTGTGTAACAAAACATAAAGCTGATGACCAATTTCCTATTTTCTCATTTTGGACAGTAAGATCAATTTTAGTTCTACTATCCAAAAGATTTAGAAATAGTCAGCTGAGGGAGGAAAAACATAGTGCATAATGGTGAATGATGCTTGCATGCATATGTTTAAAATCTCCTATATGTCCAAAGTGCCCAGAATCATGATGTCATAAACAGATGACATTTAAAGGCCAAATACGTGAAGACAAAAAGATCTTCTGTCTAGGTTATTTGTGGGAATCCTTATTGCAGATATTGAAGGACATTCTAGATTAGCATAAATCAAGAAAGAATTAGGTCTATATACAGGATTAGTCTTTGATCTTACATAAAATGTAGAAGGTACTACTGTGTATCAGAGGTCCCCTAAGTAAGAACCATTATCTAGGTATCCAGTGTAAACACATTACCTTTGGAAGACTTATTCCAAGGTATAAAAAAATCCCCTAACAGCAGGAAGAAATAGAAATATTTGTAAGCTTCTCTTGAAACCCTCAGAACCAAACCAGGATGCCTTGTAAGACAAACTCCAGCAACATTGTCCCTCCAGGATCTCTGATCAGGCAGTTTCCTGATCTTCATGCCTGCACACTCCAAGCAGGGACATGCTGAATATTAGCATCTTCCTGAAGCTGTTTAATGTATGTGGTTCTATTTTAACCTGTTGGTGTCCTGACTTCTCTTATATCCTGTAACGTGGCAAGGTGTAACTTTTTTCTTACTAATATAGAACATACAAATGTCCACATATGAGGACTAGTGAAACATTGCCTGTTGTAAAACAGCAAGTATTTTGTACAGAGGGAAAATTCTGTGACCTGCCTACTAAATGACAAGCACAAACAGTTTCTTAGGTATGGCCCCCAGTGAACACATCCCATTTTGTGAATACTGGAGCTTTTCAAACCTCCAGAGTTTTGTGTTTAGCAAAGCAGATGTGCAAATGGAGATCCAGGCGACCTCCCCTCTGAGGATCAGGCCTTTGACATACATTACTCCCCTGCTGACAGCACAAGAAGTGTGGATCAGTTGGCATTTCACACCTGCAACTAATGTAGAAGTTGTAACAATGTAAGTGAGCATTAGGGATAGGAGCGATGCTTTGGACACAAACCAGCTATATTTAACGGGAAAGGTGCAAATCCACATTACGACTCAGGATATATATTAGCTCCAGCCCTTCTTTAACCTGGAAAGAAAGAATTATGTCCAAGGGAACTTACCTCAAAGAGTTTCTCTTTCCTCTGGCAGAAGTGATGATTAGGCCAAAACTGGCCATTTGTTTTATCTGTAGGTGGGGAATAGACGATTTAGTCCGTGCGGCTTCAGCTGCCTTGGCTCAAGATCCTGATCTACAATAAATACCTCTTCACAATCAATAGAGCAATGAACTTGGAGGAGAGCCCAGGACCTTTCCCAGCAACTTTGGCCTGCACTGAGCTGACCTGGTAAATCTGCAGGAGCCAGGAGAGATCTCACTGAACATCCCGAGTTCTCCAAGTCCTCTCTGCCTTGGGAAGTCTGTGCCTCCAGTTAGGCTGCTGGGGCCAGAAATTACAGCAGCTTTTCACATACTATTTTCTTGTTAACAGATGTCCTGCACTGTTCCTTGGGCTTTTTGGACTTTACTGATGCTGCAGCATGCATTCTCCTACAATATTCATCACCGACTGGGGCTCTCCTCACTAAAGCAGATCTATCAACTGCAGAGCATTTGGGGTTGGACGTATTTGTCTGCTGCCCCGCTTGGGAGTAGCAAATCTTTTTGGGTGGGTGTAAGGGTACCATTATCCTTTATATCAGCTTGCTCTAGCCCTGGGAACTCATCTCCACTTGATGGGTTTTGGAGGCTTCTTTGTCACTGTGTCAGGTGGCTGCTCTGATACCTCCCTACAGCCTGATGCCTCCTGCCTTTCTTCCTGGCTGAGAAATGTCAGAGGTGGAAGTGAGCAGTTTTATCTCCTTCAGCCAGGTGTACAGGGCAGGGATGGGTCACAGCAGTACATCTCTCCTTGAAAAGTCAGGGGGTGCAACCCCCACCAAAACGGGCCCCTGGGCAGTTACGTGACATTTGGCTTGAGAAAGGAAACCGGTTTGTCACCTCATTGCTTCATGGTGTCCTCCCAAGGCAGAGCTGAGGAGCACCTGTGGGCTAGATAAGATAAGATGACATTATTAAAACTATAGTTGTCATGTTCTGAGGATATTCTAGTTTCCAACCTCAAAATGTGGTATATTAAAAATGTGGAAGGATTCTCAGTTACATGAATGTCAGTTTATAGGTTCTCCTACCAAAGAAAGCAAAGTATCTGTTCCTACTCATCTTTCTGATTCCTGTTAGAAGATACAACAGCTCCAAAGTAGATGGGAGCTGTCATCAGCCATGACCCCTTGGCCTGAGAACTGAATGTGCACATAGGAAAGGTGTTCTTCCCCAGAATAACACAGGCTACAGATGAAGTATGTGTAGATACTTTGGTGTAACATGACTGAATGTATGTACCCTGCAAAATGCATTTTGGATGTCGTTGAGACTAGCAGTATATCCAATTCAGAGTTATCAGGTACAGTAAAACAGGTAGGAAGGGCACAGAAATGACATGGGAAGGTCTAGATAAAGACAGGGAAAAAAGGAAAGATGATTGATGTGGAGACAGCTAAAAGGATGACAGGTGTGACAGGCAGGATCAGGTAGGACAAATCCAAACAGTTTATAAGAAGATGGAAAAATGCCTCTCTGGCATTGTACCTTTAGTGTTTTTCCACAGTGATATTACAGTGCTTTTTCTATTCTTGCTGCAAACAAAGCACTGAAGTTCTCCTGATTATTTTTTCCCCTGTGTAAGATGTCCTTTACGCTGTGATGAGATCACTGGTGTATTAGTTCATTTTAATCTTTTCAGAAAGAATCCAGGAACTGCAGTGAGGTCATGATTGCAGTAATGTCTAAAAGGGTGGGTTTATGGAGGAAAGGAGAAATATTCCTCTCATTTAGAAAAAGTAACAGAATTTGTGGCTCTCAAGTGTGTTGTCCAAGCTAAGGTTTGCTTGCTTTTTCTGTTGCATTCCTTTGCAAAAGCCAATCTGCTTCATACTTTTGTTCTTTCCTTAAGTATTGCATAAATCTAACAAAGGTTGCAGACAAATCACCCTGCTAGAGCAGTGCTCCACCTGAACAATCATCTATCAGCATCCCTACCCATGGTACCTCCCCAGTTACACAGCCAGGAGCAGGGTAAAAAAATCAGACTCCTCTGATGACCTGAATGTCCTCACATTAGACCTTCTCTATCATTCAGAAGGCAGATGCCTCACTGGGAACATCCTAGTTCCCATGTCTTTCAAGGAGAAAAATCCTTGGGGCATCCCCTAGGGCCACAGTATCACTGCTTAACATGACATATTTGTGCCTCATGGATCAATGGAGCAATGTCAGGCATGAATTTGGACCTTGACATTTCAGGCAATGACCTAAAAAAAGAAGAGGCTCAGGAGTGCCAAAATTTCATTTGTTACTCTGATTTTTACCTCCAGTCTTTTCCACTCTCTGTGGAAGTGATAAGACTTAATGATATAATTCTGACAGGTCTCTGGATGGATTTAATACTGGAAAGAAACATGGAGAGAGATGGAATCACATGGTACTCTTTATCATGGCCAGTGTATTGTATTTTAATGTGTCCTAATGAACTTAACAATTACTCCCCAGCGTGCTTGCTGCCTGGGTCAGAGAGGTTATTTTGAGTTTGCCATCTTCCTGGATTCTTGAGACAATTCCCTCTGGATTTGTTGAGTCAACAACAAAGTGGTGATAACAAATACACTTCTGCTTTAATCCAGTACTGTGTCTTTCCCCTTCTTTGCAAAGTGGATTTGTGCATACTGAGAGTTACACTGCTGCTAGTTTAGCAACTTCAGGGTATTAGTGACATTCATCACGAAAACAGTTCCCCTTTCATATCCAGAGCCCAAACGTCCTGGATGATCCGTGGGACACAGAGGATGCTGAAGGTTTAGTTTTGCTGAAAGGGTTTAAGAGCTTTAGTTACCCAGAGAGGGGTGGGAGATTAATGTTCTTTGGTAGTGACAGGGACCTGTGAGCTCTGAATCTCATTGCAAGGGAAGAAGAACCCACCTCTACATATTACTAATATGCATAACTATGGCAAGTCTTTTAAATAAAAAAAGACTAATTAATAATGCCTAGTGGTCTGGATGTCGAAGTATGAATTGGATTTCTGCAGGCTTAGGGAGGTGGGGAAATGGGTTAACATAGCATTGTTTCAAATTACAGGGTTTAAAATTGCTTAAAACGACAAGCAGAGAGGGTTTCCACGCCAGATTTGAGACATTTGTTCTCTTTTATTTGTACTAAAATTTCAGCTTGAGCTCACATTGTCATTCTACCCAGACTGCTTCCCAGACCAGCTAATTTGTCTACCTGTGTTCCATTTTAGGCCTTGGTTTTAATATGAGGATGATTCCTGCTAATACCAAAGACTGGATAGGACATCCATTAAAAGTCTACACAGCAATTGAAATGGAAAATTCCAAAAGAAACCCTATTAGAGTTTTTCTCCATCAAATCAACATTACAGACTTCTTATGCATTTCTTAATTAGACATTGATATTAACTGGACTGTTGCATGATTTAAATCTAGCTCTTAATCTCAGCTATTCTATGCTGCTGTAGTTTTTATGACATCCAACTAGCGACTGCTTTATGCATTAATCTATCTGGAAAACCACCTTCACATTTTTTTTGTCTTTTTTTAGAAGAATAAAGGCCCCAAAAAGGAAATGAAAGCTTTTGGGTTCAGCCATTAGTAATTTTCTGCTTAGTATTTGAAAAATTGCTTATTTTAATTGCTTCATAGAAGAAAAAGATATCAAAGCTAACGTTCTTTCTCTCCAAACTTTGTAATTATTTCTCTCAGACTCTTATTTGAAATGCCTTGAAAGGATTTTCATTGAAATGTAGATTTCTTCTCTTTCAAAAGTACTTTTATTCCCCTGTGCTTCTTTCCCTTTTTTTTTTTTTTTCCTCCTAGTGACTTCCCCTTTAGATTTAGAGCAAAATACATAGTCTCCAACCTCTGGACACAGCATCATGTGTCACATAGATGTCCTTAAATGTCATCTTTAAGCCTAACCTTCCCATGGCCCACGGACTGGGCTGACAATCAGCCTTAGGTCTTAGTCTGGTATCCTTGGGCTTCCTCCAGGGACAGTGAAGAAAAGCCATAGGTGTTAGAGGGGTTTGCTCTATCAGGGTCAACTCATTCTGAAAATTTCTGTTTGATTTGCTTCTTAACATCACTACCAAAATCAGGGGAACCTAATGGGAAAGTTTTGTAAATGCTAAGCCAGAATGTCAGTGAGATGAAGTTGGGGCTTGTGGTAAAGCCAAGGGACAGGTAAGCTTTGTATAGTTTTGGGCTCTGTTTCCAGCAGTATAAATCCTGGATATCCTAATCCAGGAAGGAATTTGCTAACCAAACCCCGTAGTTAATTCTGCATTGTATTTAAACATCAGTAGCACAAAGCTTCAGGATCGTGTTGGCCTCCTTGGTAATCCTTGATACCAATACAGCAACAGTAGCAATAAGTTCTTTGTTTCACCCACACCTTTTCAGGGAGCATTATTTACTAATGGATTATGATCTGGTCAAAATGATCTATACATTCATTACATCTGGAGTGGGCTTTCATAACTCACAGCACCTGAGAATGAGGCAAAACTCAACATTTGTTTATAGTGCTGCAATTCTGCTCGGCAAAAAAAAGGTATAGAGAAAACACTGTCCTGAGCACTTGTGGTCTGCTCTGAGTCCCAGGTGATTTCTCATGCCACCTCAAAAACATCTTTAGGGCCTCAGAAAAGTGGGGGGACCTGGCTGCCTCAGAGACACCTCAAAATACAGTTGTTCCCCTGCAAATAAGTCACCCCACAAGCCTCGTGTGGTCACGGCTGAGGTTATCTGACAGGGGGAATCTTCCCAGTGGAACAAAACATTTTGAGAAAAGAAGATTGAAATGAAGCTAAAGCATTCTCAATATCAGATTTTACACGCATTTTTTTTGCAATAACACAAAAGGAAGAAAGAGAATAAGAAAATGAGTTCGAGGGAGATGGAGAGAGAGATGGTCTATTAAGCAAAGATACTTTTTTACTCTCTGAATTTACAGTCCTGATAGACATCTTTATTCAAAATTACTCATTTTTTATTTTCAGATACTATAGCTTTCAGTACTAGGTCTTAGATTTGTCTGGACAGATTACCCTCTTATTTCCACAATGAAACTTAATTATCCTTTTTATGTCTTCAGATACTTCCACTCATTTCCTGAACTGTTTCTGGGGACAGAGAGCAGCTGATGGGTCAGTCAGTAAAGTAAACACTGTGCATCCCTGTTGGCCACACATTTTTAAGTATAAAAGCCCTTTGGTCCCAGGTCTTCTTGAAAAAAATTGAGGGCTGGTCCATGTAATTTGCTCTGATCTACTTTTGCTGAGTTTTTTTATTTTTCTGACTAGGCAGGGACTCGTCATTTTCTCAGCACCTTTCTGTGTATTACTTGGAAGCATCTAAATGTGACTAACTCACCTGGAATCTGTAGAAGGCTATTTGAGTGCGTCATCTCTGAGACAAGAATAACCCCTCATGAAATCCAGGGTGGAAATCACCGCGTGGTTTCAAACACCCCTTCCTGTATCCCTGCTGCTGCAGCAGGAAGGAATGCATCTGAGTAGTTAAAGTCCAAATGACTAAATAAATTGCTTCAAAGCAATAGTATTAGCACAGAGGGACATGTAAGTTGCTGGTGTCGAGTAGTTTCTAGACTTCAGGAAACTTTGTTGGTTTCATCCATAAAGAAATTATCCATTATATCTACCTTCTGTCTGAGCAAAACTAACACAGAGAAGTCAACATGGAACGGTTGCAAAAGATAACCCAAGACCTGCAAGTACTAAAGAGAAAATTATGAGTATCCACTCAGTCTTTGAGGGTTAGTTTTTAGCTTTTATGTTTTTCAAAGTCTCAGTTATTCAAATAAGAAAGTAAAGAAGTGTTGCAACTAATTAAAGTACAGATTGGCTTAAGGAAATTACCCAAATAATTAGAAAGCAGAGCGAGAACACAACTGGGTGTATTTTATAGAATCCTTTATGAATGAAATAGTCCTAAAGAGCTGACCTGGTAAAATAATATTGAAATACATAAACAGAGCAGGTGTTATTGTAGTACCCAGGTAGGTTTTATTGGGTTGAACAAATACTTCAATAAATGAGGAACAAATGCAGTTTTGCTAGGCTGGAATGAACAACAGACTTTGTATGGACTTTACACATTGCATAAAACCCAAATTAAACAAAATTTCTCTTACCCTGGCATGGTATTCACTTTGCAGTTACATCTCTGCATGAAAGTTGCTTCTTCCAGGTCCAACTTGTGACCCCAGCCTGAAAGCAGGAACCAGGATGGTGCAGTATCACTGAGACCACTCAAGTCTGTCATGCCAAAACCAGAAATTAAGATGTCACCATGGTATAAAACACGAGTTTCTCCGTCACACCCAACATGCATTTTTTCCTGATGAGTTTATTACACTTAATTTCCACTAGCCTGGGCGAACAGATAATCTGTTTTCTACAAATACAATAAATAGTGCTTCAAATGATGTGGCATTTATTCAACTCATTCAATTTTGGTGATTCAAACTAATTACAAAAAGAAAAGATACTGAAAACAACAAGCAGCAGGATCCCAGGATTGAGACTCTTGGGCTGAGTCCCCTTTTTTGCTGATGATGGGTTCTGCCCTCTTAGACCTGTCACTTCAACCCTCAGCCTGGGTGCATTTACCTGCCTCCATAAAGCAGATAGTGAGCATTGTTTATAGGACTCTTACACTCCCATGTGCTGTAGGGTCTGTACAGTGCATGGCAATAAACTGGGTCCTGACCTCACCTCTGTCCTCACTCCCTGCCACTGGAAAATGAGTGATAAAAAATAATAATAACAAGCTCAGAATAATTATGTATTGTCTTTATAGCGAAACAGGCCTTGAGCATTGTGAGCTCTCCACCGGGAGAAGTCCCATTTAAAAAACCTCCCTGGCATAAAAATGAATCGAATCCTGTCACATGAATGGCCTGCATTTACTATTCTTTTCACTTACCTTCTAGTCGTTCATTTTCTGAGCTGACTTGTGCCTCTTCCCTCATTGTCAGCGAGAACTGGGTAACAAGAACTTGCTGGAAATAGAGTAGTAAATAAATAAACAAACAGAAAAAAACCTGCTGACTTGGCAGATGCTCTATTACAACCATGATGTAAAACTATCAAACAACAAATGCAACTTCTGAATGTCTCATGATTCACATCACAAACAGCAAGGGAGGAAACTGAAGGAGGATTTTGACCAGTGATAAAGAATTTGGAACAATACTGGATTTTCAGATCGTAAGAAATTCAGGATAGGTCTGGGCTGAATCATTGATCACAGGTATTCTCCTTCCTGTAGCCATTGTAGCATCAAGCACTTCATCCATCATCTGTAAAAGCTCAGCACTTGGACTACCCCAATACCAAGGACCACTCCACTGTAGCCAGGAAAATCAGTCAGCATCTCTGCTCTACAATAATGAAAATATTTGGGTAGTTCAGGAGAACTCCTCTCTTTCCAAGCAGCCAACAGCTCTTACTGTGATACTAGGGCTCCTTGTTTCACCCGTCTCAAATTTTAAGCTCTTGGAAAAGGTACCAGTTCATAACTGGTGCATTGGTCTTGCCCCAGGAAGATGGAGGAAAACAGAGCAGGGCAGAAACAACCCAAGTAACTTAATGGATGTTTTGTTGGGAGAAAAAAAAAAAAAAAAAAAAAAAAGAGGAGATTAATTAATGGGAAAAGCCTGATGGTCATTAAGTGTCCTGGAGCAACTATTGTGACAGGGAAGCAGCGAGTTCCTGTGTGGCTTTAAGACATCTGCCCTAAGGAAACATCAGCAATTGAAACTGTGTCCTTTTCCCAGCTCTCCAATTCCCATGGGCCAGCAGTTGCTTCGCTAAATGAAATGCCTCTTTAGGGAGACCGGCTGGCCCCAGGGATTGGTAATGCAATATAGAGCCTTTCATCTCTCACCCATGAACCCAAGTCAAACAGAGTTTGGTAAATGGCCAATAACCCTTACCATCCCAGGGCTGTTTGGTGACCTGTGCGAAATGAGGAGGGTCATCTCTGTGTCTGTTTACTAGAAGGCAAGTGTCAACTTCACCATAAAAAGGGACACAGTTACTACTCATTATCACCCAATTTAACATTCTGAAGACAAGAGAATGAGCCTGGAAAACTCAGCCATCTTCTGACCCAACGATGGCAGTCCCAGGCCATCAGGGCTTGAAGAACATTAATGAGGACAGTTGCATTGTAGCAAAATCAGGCTGTGCCTCTCCTGCCAACAAGAAATACAAGTCTGATCTACTCTGAGCAGCACATGATTGCAGTTTTTCCCAGATCTACACGGAAATCCATGGGATTTGGTTCAGTTTTTAGGTGCAGCAGGCACTGAAGCACAGCCACAAAGTTACAGAATGCTGCAGACTTCTGCAAATCTGCATTTATGGTCTTCAACAGACACAGGCAACCTGAATTGGGACACACATGCATCCAGCAGTGATAGAGTTAATGTGCTGAGAAACCCTTCACTGGAAGGCTCTGTTCCCTCACCCATCATGAATACACTGTTCTGGTTACCAAAATAGCTGCATTTGGAAGGGTTGAAGGCCAGAAGCTCTCTGCAGTACCCATTCTTGCCCTATGCACTGCTCATTTTAAGGTCAGACCTTTGGCATCAGGAACCTGTTAGAAGAAAGAGGAATCGCTTTAAAAGTTGTTGCCACTCTGGGGATTACCCTGGAAGGTCTGAGAGGGTAAAGGGAAGGGCAGGGGCAGATAAACACTTGGCCACATGAAAAATCAGCTGTCCCTAAATTTCAATGCATCTGCATAAACCTCCCAAGACTCCAGCCAGCCTGTTCTTACCAGTAGTGTTCCCAGTCACCACTATCATTTTGTAGCCCTTCTTATGCCACAACAATGACAACATTGTCATTGTCAACTGAGAGTTACTGTATAATCCCTCCAATCTTGATTAGTTGCATTAAATTATTATACCTATGTTAATTAAACAGAAGATGGCAGAGGCAGCTTTTACTTCTCACTCTTTTGCATAGACCATTTGCCAGGGCTTCACAGGCTGTGGAAAAACAACAATACAGGCACCCCACACGTCATATCTCAGCACAGCTGATAAAGCTATTTTACTCATGCGGTGGTCCACGATTCTTTTTTGCATATCACAGTATAAGTTTAATTACCACGCTGCTGCTGCATGGCAGCTCCTCTCGCTTTCCCTTTTCTCCTATTTGTATTATTTGCAAGCTGTAATCATGTTTTCCTGTCATCCCCGAGCAATGTGCCTGCGTGCGTACAGGCAAATGCCAAGCCTGGAAAGGAAATTTGATGCGTGTCCATGAATTGGAGTTTTCAAACTTTGGCTGAAGATTAGTACATGTAAACATAGCTCTGCCCCCTTCATCTTGGATAATTGGTCACAAATGCTACTTGACACTTCTCAAATCAGACACTTTACATACTTCTGAGCATAGCTGAACTTTTTTGGCAGGAATTAATTTGCTTTGCAACTTAGCTGCTCATTCCTGGCCCGATCCCTGCTCCAGTGATTTCAGGGCAATGTTCTGCCAGTGCAAGGAGCACAGAGGCAGGACTGGATCTGTTTGCTAGTGCTGACGAGCCCGTCTCAGTAACTCCCTCAGAAAAACAATTACTGCAGCTAATGTTCTGCCCTTTGGCAGCCCTGATTAACACTGGGATTTTTACCTTCGGGTCCCTCTTTCTATTCCAATTACTGCAGAAGTTACATTGCATCAGGGGACATCACAGAAAAACAGAGAAGGCAATGTAGCATCACCAGAAAATGCAACTTCTGACACACCAGGACCCTTCCACAGCAGCATCAGCTTTATGGGAGATGGTTACAGGCACCATGAGCCTTCTAGGAGACTGCCTCACTGTTTTCCTGCCTCTCCTGCTAACAGTGCATGCTCCAGCAGAGAAGGGAAATCCATTTCTGAAGTACTGATGAAGTTTTGAAGTCGCCACAGAATTCCATGCATTAAGCAGCCCCCTGTTTGCTCTGACATTACGGCGTGTTTACTCACCGTGCACCGGTACTGCAGGAGCTGAGCAGACCATATGCTCACTTAGAAGGGCTGCCAGGTCTCAGGGAGCATTGCTGTGCCTATTCCAGGAGGAGTTTGGGGCAAGAATGCATTCCATAATGGTTTTCACTAGGAATACTGTATTTTAACTGGTGATTTATTTCTGTCCAGCCTCTGGACTAAACGGCAGTTTATCAGCCCATCCATGTAGGTCTGTGAATCACCGATGGAAAATATCATTAGCCCTTTATTCACTGGGATGTTGATAAACTGCAGCATATTAAAAGTGTTTGTCAGTTTGTTCTTTTCAGCTATCACGTGGGATGTGTGCCAGCGTACCCTCCTCGTGCTGGCTGCTTCATCCAGAAAATGGAGAGAAAATAATGAAACAATGTCAGTTCTAGAAGAGGGCAAAGGTTCACAAGAGATTTTTTAGCACTATTGTCTTGCTTACCACTAGCACTAAATCTGTAAATTAGAATGAGCTCCTACCTGCAGAAGCAAAGGTTGAAACTTTGTGCTGTGCTTCAGGAGGAGACCAGGAGAGAAGCAAATCCCTGGTGATACATTCATGTTGCCTTGGTTCTCATGACTTCCTGCAGCTCAAAGCACTGATGAGGAGTAGCCAAGACAGACACAGTCCACATGATGTTTCTCTGGCCTCTGGTATCTTGTGCCATGACTCAACAACAGACAGGGAACCAGCTGCTTCAGCCACCTCTCTGTGTGCTTGGTCCCCACACTTTCCAATCACGGTCTTGTAATGGTTCATCCCTAGAAAAGAAGGTTTTGTGAACACCTTGTTACCAGAGATACAGCAGATTCACTGTGGAGAAGCAATAACAGACCCTGAATTTGCCACGGACTAATGCAAGTGAAGACATTGCATGTTAATATGTCTTGGGTTTTCATAGGTTCTTACCTTAAAATAAACAAATGGAGATGTATTTTGCTTCCTGCTGTTTAACTATGATATTGGAACCATTATGATGTTTGTGGGTGAACGAGGCAACAACTGGCCAAGAGATACAACAGAGCTCTAAAGCCTCAGCTAAGGAGGAGGCTTAGTTTCCATTGCTATTATCTATCACTATAAATTTAGCTTTCAGGTCCTAGACATTTTAAAATAACATGTCTAGTGTTAGAATAGGAGAGTATCAGAAAGAAGTGAATTACAGGTTACAGGCTTCTAGCATTTGCAGTAATAGAACTATTACCATAATTACACCTGTAGAGTAGTACTCGTTTATGTTGTTATTAGGGGAAAGGGATGGTGGAATTAGGATGTATGGAAAGAAAACACTGCAGAAAGGGAGTTAAATAGTTCAGCTGGGACAAAGATGGACACTGATGGCTTCTGAACACGCTCCTGTTTTCAGCACATGAGGTCACCATGTGTATGTGGACCTGCAATGTCCAGTGATTTAGGTGAAACCACTATAGGTCACCAGTGACTGGTACAAATGGAAACAAAGCACAGCCCACAGAAAGGCCCAGCCTCACACACAAACCCCAGGCTGGGAGCTGACGACTTTTTGTGCCTCTGAACATCTCCACAGTCTTTGCTGGGTGAGAATGGAGACTGGCCAGGTGACTCCATGAGCTCAGTGCTTCACAGACAGGAGTCCTTCTCCATCGTCGAAAAGATCAAATCCAGACTCCTGAACATTTGAAATGAGACTCTCCATTTTGACTCGTTATTTTGCTATCAGGACTAAGTGGCCATTATTAGTACACAGGTACTCACTGGTGTAAATCTACCTCCTGGGTGTCATTGCTGGAAGTCAGTGAACCTGTGCTTCGGTGGCTAAAGATTTACTTGTTTAATGCACAGTGTCATCAGCAAATTCAGGCCAGCAATGACATCCCACTTGTCTAAGTTAATATACAGCCTTGGACTGTCCTTGCTTTTCTTCCCATTCAAACTTACAGCTCAGTGTTGGTGTCTGCCACAAACCAACGTTACAGCTGAAGTGAAAGAAGTGATGAATGAACATGAGCTTTGCATGTAGATAATTAGAAGTCGGGCTGAGTAGATCACATTATTTAATGTATCATCATTATATTTGTATTTAAAAGCATCTAAACTACATTATTTCCTCTATTACTCCATTTCTTCAGTGCTCTGGCTCCAGGGATGAGTTGTGCTACGTGTCTTGGTAGACTTGTTTTCTAAAAAATGATGGAACCACTTGGAGTTTAAATCATTGCTCTATTAGGTTGGTAAATTGTCCCTACTTGAGAATACTCTTGTGTCAGGAGTAAAAGTCCTTGTTTGGCTGTGCTGCAAGAAGCAGGATGATATTTAATTATGGCAATGGAAACTCATCTGGTTTCTCCAAGTGCAGACAATATTGATTTACAGTTCTAATATAGAAAAGGTGGAATTAAAAAGCTGGTTTATTTAGAAACTTACTTATTCCTTAAAATGTCTGTTCAGCTCATTTTTAAATTTGATTTCTTGTCCCAGGTGAATTACACTGCATTTCTGAATCTCAAGAAGTGCTTGTGCCTGATAACAGCTGATCGAAGCACCAGCATGGTTTGGTCATTTTAATTGTAACATTTTTGTTTGCTGCTTTATTGGACAATGGTGTTTACAAAAGAGAGATTAAGAGCACCAGAGACAGAATTACAGAACACAGTTGGTGCATGAGACTTGGTATTAGTATAGGACCACAGTCTGTAAGGTCAGTGGCAAATGTTACCAGCTTGCAGGCAAAATAATGTCTGGTTCTGAAAGAAAACAGCAAGGAAAAATCATGCCAGTGTTCCAGCATAACAAATGAATTTAGGCAAGTTGATTATTTAATATTCCACAGCTTTACAACTCGATACTCTGTGGACAAAAGATCAGAAGTCTGCTGAGTCCAAATTTTTGAATCTTTGGGTCAATATGCTTCTCATGTCTTCAGCGTTTAGTTTAATTTAGGAGGAAACATTTCTGAGCTAAGATAAGATCTCAGACAAAATTGACATGGACTCACAACATGGCCTAACATAACAATTTAATCTATCCTGTACTTCCCCTGAAAGAAGGCTTAATAACTGTGGTATGATTTCACCTGCTGCTTCTAACATTTGCTCATTCTTTTTTCCTGAGAAAATTTGGATTATCAGATGGCAAGCAGCAGCTTTGTTCATGGTAGACAAACTTGAATTCATTTAGGATTAATAACAATGAGTTCAATCTTTGATTCAATGGCAGTCAAGGAAAGTGGTCTTTGGAAGACAAATGTTTGTTTGTGTTAAAGAGAAATAATCAATTCTCCATTTTGGGGAGTATGAGGTGGTTATAGCACATATCACAAAATATTTTCCCTATGTATCCTGCCCTGGGTACACAAACTGCAGGAATGTTCCTCAAGCCCTGGGTTTACAAACACAGGCCATTTTGACCCTGAATTTCAAAATCTGAAGTTTCACGATGAATTACTTGGTGTGAGAAAAAAGCATATCTCTTACTCACAGTACTCTCAGGTCCTCTTGGTGTCCTGATGCTGGGGAGTAAGGAGAGAGAAGGGTCCAGATCACTGCGATCCATCAGCAGCTGTAGGTCAAGACAGGCTGGATCCAATGGAGGAATCAAGGCTGGATCTGTATTTTGGCCCAGTCCTCACCATTGTCTTAGACATGGGCATCTTCCAAATTCCTGTGGGAAATCCCACATCCTTCATTACTTTCCCTGTGCCTTGGGAAGGAACTGGAGCACACGCCACCCCCGTGCCCAGACAGGGAGGGCTGCACTGCCCAAAACCGAGTACCCTGCTGACCTCAGGGAAAATTAGCAGGCTTCAGGAAATTTACCCTGCAGACAATTTTACCCTGGAAAAACATCACACACATTGCTAGAGTTTAGGACAACAAATTAGAGCATTTAATATGCACTGGAAGCTTTTTTTTTTTTTTTCCTTCCCCATACCCGCTCCACCCCCCCCGCCCCACACCCAGTAACATCCAGTTGCTTAATTCCATTTGAAATCACCCGGGTTAGGCACCTAAATAATCTTGTCCTTCATGCCTGTCAACATCTTGAGGCACCTAAGCACCTTTAGAGATGTGGTGTGAAAGCTTGTGAACGATGCAATCGTGGAGGGAAACAAAAGACAAGTATCCCTATTTGCCGCCCAAGAATCCACAAAGAATGCTGCTTCAGCTCTGCTCTGATTTCTAATTAGATTATGAGTGATGTAGGACTCTGAAGCCAAGCTGGAGTTTGTGCTAGCACTTTGCATGTATGAATGACAAAGGGACACCACTTTCATATTGATTTAGGCAGGCCAGTGGAAGAATGTTTAAACATCAAGTGCTTGATGTCCCAGTTTGCCAGAGCACCTGGAAATATCAAATTAATTCCAGGTGTTCTGCCATTAAGACAGGCTTGCTGCTTTTACAGCCACACATACAAAATGTGGCTCCCAGTTCCACAAATAAAAACAGAGTGGTTTCTGCTCCTAATGCCTCGATAACTCCGACATATTGCAAGTTCTGGAAAGAATTTTAATCTACATAGGTCTTTTTTTTTTTTTTTAAAGGGGAGGGGAGCGAGGGGGGAGGGATTTTAAATATGCTGCATACAATTTGTGATGGTCATCTCTAAAATGCAGCTCCATTATCCTTTTCCATTTGGAATGAATGAGGCTAATTAATTTCAGGCCATACTTGATGAGGTCAGCACCATACGAAGGGTGCGTGCTAGACATTGCTAATCTCTTTCAGCTGAGAGTGATGAATTAAAGATGAAGCATTCCTTTGCAGGCCTAATTTAGAATGTATATCAAAAACCTACAGCAAATAATACTATACCCTACAACAAAGGAAAACTTGTTCTCTCAGGCTCCCATGTAGGGTTGATTTTAAAGGCATTTTCATTTCGCTTTGGAATTCCAGCTGTGGATGGGTGAAACAGTTCAGAAAATTCAAGCTTTCTCTCTTTCTATTGCTTTTATGGACAAAAGTAGGCAAGGGGGGGCTAAGGGGAGAGCGAAACTAGTCCGTGTTTGATCCTGTATATCCTGTGATTCTGACTGTACGCCCGGCGTTTAGGAAAGCTCCCAGGGTCGTGTGCTCCCCAAGCACCCGTGACGTGACACCCCCCCTATGGCCCACACTGAAATTTTACCTTTGGGTGTCTTTTCGGTCTGAGGGGAAAGCAATCAAAGGTCCCCTTTGGTTCAGCATCATCTCAAGGATGTTTTGTTGGACACTGCAGGCAGGAGACAGTCCGGGTCCGCCAGTTCTTCTGGGTCACCCAACAAGGACACAAGAGCTTCCAAGCCATCCCAGAGCTGTATTTCTCCATAGGGAAAAACACCTCCCTGTGCAAAAAAGTCCCATCACATCTAGAAGCACAGATAGCAAAATTTAATAGAACAAGTCACCGCAAAAACAACCAGGTCTGGAATCGGAACAAATAGCTACAGGGCTCCCAAATTTGCTGGACTTGAGGCTCAGCAAAGCTTTACCACCTTTCCCTTAGGTAAACCCACCCACAATGCCCATTGGGGTTTTCCCTGAGTGAGGGACTGCGGGGTTTGGCCCCGCAAGCAGCAAGAATCTCATTTTGGTAAAACAGGGGCTCAAGAAATCCTAATCCAGCCTCGGGAGGAGGCTGCAAACAATAGACCAGCGTCCTCCCCACAACTTCACTGTTTAATTACCTGGCAGTTCCTTGGAATTCTTGACAGGTTGCTGCAGCAAGTCGAGGTTCCCAACTGGTGGCCATAAGCGGCTGCCGTCTTTGTATCCCAGTAGTCCTCATTAGAACAAAGCTGCTTCGAATTAAATCCAATCTACATGCCGAATCAATCTTTCAACCCTTTGATTGCTTCTGAAAATATTTATATTTCTTAATAATGCACATTTTGTCCCAGAGCCTGTGATTAAACCCAGACAAGGTCCAGAGAAGCCTGAAGTATATGTGGAAGGGGTTATTTTGGACAGGAAAAGAAAGATAAAGAACACAGGTTTTTCCTATTGTGAAACCATTAGAGTGTATAAATCTAGCAATTGCAGTTGTATAAGCATCAGAGTGGGGTTGTAATAAATACAGATTGGAGTATTATAGTAACCAAATGGAGTTTATGGATTATGTTCACTAGTTCATATTTCTCAGCTACTACAATCTAACTAGCATCATGCTGCACTCACCTCTGTTAATATTCCCTATTAATATTCTCTTTACATGTTTGTGGGGAAAAAAAGAAGTTAGGATTCAACTGCTGCTCTGTGTAAAACAAATATGTTTAAAGAATCATGCCCTCCAAAGAAAAAAAATAAACATGGTGATGCTGTAAAGCGACTGCGTTCGAAGGGCACGGGCTGTGGCTGGATGGAATCGGCCCATCCTGCTTAAAGTTAATAACTTCCATCTGAGTGGAATCTGGTCCTAATGCAGGGCATTTGCTGCGTGAAAATTAGGGTGTAAAAATGAAGAAAACAACTGCTGCTATCCCTTATCCTGGTGAATTTTTAAGGGGGTAAATAATAAGCTTTGGCTGGAGATGAGAAACGCGTAAAAGGCTTTGTGGTGAACAGCACATCATTCCTTCCTCAAAAAGTAGCATACATCACAGGTGAGATGTCTGGAGTGGAAGGGAAGGATACCTTTCTTGGCTAAGGAGTAACCCAGATAGGGCCTGATCCTGCAGAGTGGGAATTTGACGTCGATTAAGAAGGTAGTGGTGGCTGGGGACGCAGATCAGATAAAGTCTCTGTACCTGTCTCCCTCCTTAAACACAAATGACTGCCCTTGTCTCTAATAAAAGGGAAAAATTGACTTTGGAAAACACGCCATGATAAAACCCCTTGGATAAAGTAGTGCACTGCCTGGGTGAGAGGGAAACAAATACTAGAAACCAGAAGTATATAATGCTTATTTAATATCATCGCCATCAGCAGCATCAGATGGTAAATGCAGGTAATATGCTTCAGCAGTGGGCTGGTAAATGCTTGTGTTACCTTTCCTTGCGGCAGTTTCCCCCTTTATAAAGGAGAGAAAGAAATATTCTCGGTTAAAATATTATTCATTGATTCTTTCATCACCTAGTTCATTATATTAAGCTGTAATTTCCTAAATATGTTGGGGGGTGGTGTTATTGTTATACATATATCCTGAGTCTTGATAGCTATTTTGCATTAACATATGATTTGGATGCTCAGTCTTTAAGGTAGAAAGAAGTGGGGTTTTATCATCACCATAAATAAGGGGAGAGAAGAGATTTAGAAAACCTCTCATAAATAGGGATGGATCCAAAATCTAATGGCATGCATGAAAATCCATTTTGGATCAGGCCCCCAGCAGAACACTGTGTTATATAACCAGTATTTTCTGAATATCTTCTATTGTTTGACAACCCTGATTTCACACTGAACTTGGAGTTCGTTTCCGAACAGAAGCTTTTTGTACAGATACTTTAAATCATATCCCTTCGTGAACACACACATACCATCGAGGATATTGTCTTATTAAAGAGTTTAAGCCTAAAGGTGTATGCCTATTTTTAAAAGAAATTTTCTGATTGTAGATAACTGCTCAATTTGATTTAGTGTCCAATGATAGTGATGGGGTTGATAACTGAGCATTCATCGGTAATTCATCTTGTGCTAGTAGAAATTTACAGCAAAGCAGTGCTTTCCCAACACTGACAAGTCCTATTAATCTTCTTCAGACACATTTCAATAGGTGTCTCCATCTGTGCCCAACATCTAAACACTCTGGCATCACTGGGGACTTGGAGACACCTTCATTTCAGGTTACACTAGTGAAAATGTGATACTAGATTGTACTCTATTTTTAACCTAATTCTCCCTTTTCATTCAATTAGCCTTTCTTGCCTGCATTTTTCTACTCATGTGTAACACCCTTTTCCCAGGAAGAGCTTAAAAATGAGATTTAGTTACTTAAAGAGACAGAATCTGCCAGGGCAAGAGCAACCAAGATCTTAATACATAAAAGCAGAATAATAAAGCTCACGGACAGAGTGTGGAGACAGAATCGCCATCCACCAAACACCTCCTGCGTAGAATTCTCATCATATACCCCTCCTGATGCACCTCTTGCAGGCACCGTTCAGTTAGGGCAGGTCTGAAGCCAGACACCCCAAAACTCAAAACAACTGCACAGCGTCTGGGCGTTGAAACCCAAAACACCTCCTGTTTGTTCACGCCGCACGAGGGATCCCCACCATACATCACCACTTCGCCTCACATATACAGCTAATGCATGAACAAACACAGAGCAGTCAAATTACAGTAATAACATTTATGGGTGGATTATGTTCCAACTTCCCCGCTTATTATTAAAAGTGAGTAGATTGCGGAGCACATGGAAGAGGTAGGGTGCAAATGCAGGCGAATTTGCACTCGGAACCAAATGTTGTTTTTTCACTTTCAAAGCTGCGATGAGTTTGCGAGCAGACGCAGCACAGCTTTAAAGCTTACTCATTCAAAAATGTGTGTTTGGGTTCTCTTCTTTTTTTTTTTTTTTTTTTTTTCCCCCCTCTCTCCCTCCCCTCCTTACTCCGTTTACGGTCGCCTTTCAAAGCGGAGCAGATGCACACCATTTGGGTTTGGGTGGTTCCTACTTGCTCTGAACTTTCTTCTGAAAAGAGCAAACCGTGAGCCGTGCGTCTGCTCCGCGACTCGGAGGCAGCTTCAAACTTTGTTTCTGGCTTTATGAAGTTCTCTCGTGAGTCGTATTATAGATCTAAATGACCTTATTGTAGGTGGCAAGTTTAAATGTGCCATATTAATAACTTGTTATCCAAGACAAATTAAGTCCTTATGTGTCAAAAGCACTCTGCTCTGGATTACCTACAAGACAAGTATTTATTGAATAAACGTTGGATCCAATTTCATTTTAATGTGACTGACTGTATGCTGCAGCCCCTTAGAATGAGATAAAAACACTCAAACCTACAACTGTGTTGCAACATTACACCTAACTTGTCTATTTCTATTATTGTCTTTTTGATGTGGGATATCAAAAGTGTTTGGGGGGGTTTAAGGACTTATTATTATTATTGTTATTATTTTTTTCTGAAGAGCAAGGAGAGAGATAGAAAAAAAAAGACTGGCATTCAGCCTAAAGAGAAATCATTGAAACAAATTAATCCTATGCCGTTTAAATTGACATGGTAATCCATCATCAGCAAAGGGAAACTCTGAAAGCAATCTAGAATCTGCAGTGTTCTTTCACTGGCCCTCAGGCACAAAGACAGACAGTAAAAGAGGAAGGGGAAGAAAAAAAATCATAAAAGTTTGCAGCACCTTAGCAAAGGGAAGGGCTGAGAGAGCAGCTTTCACTTTTTCCTGCTTTCAAGCATCCAGCTCGGAAGGCAACGCTGATTAACCTCCAGCCATCCCCCACGAACGTTTACTCGTGTGTGTCAGATCATCTTCAGCTGCTGAGATATGAGTAATTTCAAATAGTGCAGAGCCCCCATCCTGTGTAAACTCCACCACTGAAAACTCTGCCAAACGTCAACTTGGGCATTTCTGCTTACAGAGGGCCTTTTATTAGCCTAAACTTGATCATTCCAAATGGACAATAAATTCTATCTTCACAGCCCTGGAGAAAAGAGCTGTACTATCCTCGGGAGTTTAATAGCCAGGATTTTCATAGAGCTAGCATGAAAAAAACCTGGGGGGTTTTATTTGGATTTGGGCTTGGGGTATTTTTTTTTTGTCTATCCCCTGCTTTCTCAATGGGACTATCCACTATAATATATGTTTCCCAAGAGATTTTTCAAACTAGTTTTAAATATCTAAAGTGATGAGACTTCGTGCACCTTTAAAATTTTATTAGAGTTATGGTCAGAAGAAAACATAAACCTCTTGGGCCTTGAAAGCCCATTGCAATACAGCCATTATCCCTATAATGTCAACAGAGCTAGAAAATTCACTAGAAATAAACCTTTTAAGAACAGCTTTCCCTGCTTCATGTTTTCTTTTAAGGTCAGTGGTGCATCACTTTTTTGGAAAACATTTCCCCTCTCTGGCCAGGTTTAGCAATGTGAAATAGAATGTATATTACTAAATGAATAGGTTTAATTTTAGACACTGAAAAAATAAATAGAAGAAGAGAGCAAGGGCAGGAATAATACCTTTCAGTTAGAAACAGACATAGTAGAAAAAAAAAGTCAGAACTTTAGTGCCAGGGGCAAAGGGGTGAAAGGCTGGCTAATATGAACCATATCCAACATCTGCCCTATTTTAATTTAGCAGGGATAAAGTTTCTTCTTTTTTATTATTAAGAAAACTTTATGTGGCAGAGAAACCCATGAGCTATGTTATCAAAACTGTTTTATTGTCACATTGAAACTTAGAACTATTAATAATTGGTGGGGCAAAGAGATAAAAACTCCCCTTCTCTCCCCTTTTATACTCTGTGACAAGCCTGGGCTCGGGTCCTGCTGACATGGGATGTCCTTTTCATGTCTTTATGAAGTACTGCACTTGGGGCTGTAATATAAAGGGGAGGTTAATTGTTCAGGATGGGTCCAAGTGATTGATTCTCCAGGTTTAAATAAATAAATAAATAAATAAATCAGAATATTTAAAACAGAACACTGACACAATGGTCATCCTTGGAGGTGAGCGATGGTAGTGGTGTACAGCAAGTGTAAAGAAGGGCTGGACTGGGGACCTATATGAGAAACAGCCCAGATTGCCAGACTGGAACATGATCTCGCTCCATCTAAAAGTTTTCCACCTCAATAGTGCAAATTCCACTATAAAATAACAATATATACTGAACCACATGTGAGTAGCTGTAGGAGTAAGAGAGCAAATTGGTTTCGGACCAAAGAAGGATGAATACCTTTGGATAATCTGAAGTTAAAATTTGATTGAAAGCATAACATTCCTCTAAGCATCAATATGCTTAGGATCCAAAATATGGTTATTTTATTACCAGTTAATGCTTAGATCAAAGCAAAACACTGTAGCTGGAAGGGACATTCTCTCTGGAAATAAAGTTCCATGTAATTATTTCCTATTAAAAACTAAAACTGGTCTTAGATTCAAAAATTTGGGCTTCCTTACATGTGATATAATGCAAGCTTGTCGAAAGAGAGCAGACGTGTCATTTTTCACTGTTTGCTGGTATCTCTTTAATTTAAAGTTTTCGGTTTAACTTTAACCCTTTGAATGTGAAAGATTCCCTTCCAGTTTACCTCCATCAAACAAGGGGGATTGTTTTTGATTATATTGACTAATTTATTATAAACAGAAATTAGAATTTGATATAAACTAACATAAATTTAGATAAAATCTGCCAATGTAAGGACGTGACACATAAAGAAAATGATACGGCAATGAGTAGGCAGCTGAAACTTAAACCTTACATTGTAAACAAGGGCTTCACTCTTGGACAAAACAGCTCATCTTAATTCAATTCGGGACATGGAGTTCAAAATATGCACTCAAAATACTTCCAAGAAAACTGCAACCTTTCAGAGGAGAGAGATAAGACTGTATTTTAATTATGAGGTTATAAATATGCGATCGATTTAATTTTTTTAACCATCTCCCAGTGTGCTATGAAACACCTTTCAGATGCAGTTATACATTTATCTGTCTCTCTCTATTCCTGTACAGGCTTTTGGTTTTATTTTATTCTATCTTTTTTTCCTGATAGCTCAATCTCTATTTATGGCAGTGCTGAAGCAGGCCCTGGGAAAAAAAAAAAAAAAAAAAAAAGGAATCTATCTTTCTGTATTTAAAACTACCATGGAATAAACAGGGAACGGTTCTTTTTACAACTGATGGGCTGGTATTATAAGTAGCAATATGAAATATTTAGACACATTATTTCAAGCTTCCCGGCTGCTTCTGATTCTGCTAATTATTTTTGATCTGTCACTCAGAAATAAAAAAAATAAATAAATAAAACTTTAAAGAGTTCATTAGGACTGCAGAAAGGAAGAAGAGTCAGATATAAGGCAGCAATTATAATTTGGTTTTAACATGTTTTTTTCATTTTTTGCTGACTCCTCAGCTATATTGTTTACTAGAAGGATGGCTACAATATACTTCTATATTAAAGCTTGTTAAATAGGGAAGAAGCTGAGACATTCAGCTGGGATATTGTTTGCTAGCTCAATTAGTATCCCAAGAATTTGAAAGTACAATAAATGTATCTGAAGATCATATCTAAACATACTTACCAAAAAGTACCCACCTCTCTCAGCAGTTCACATATTTCTGCCTTCTGACTGGGAGGAAAAAAAGAAAAAAAAAAAAAAAGGCAGTTCGATGTATAGGTTAAGATTGGCGTGTGGCAGGGTTTGTGTGAGATACAAAGAAATCCGTATTTCACTCAACAATTTCATTGCTTAAACATATAGTTTAGAAGCATCTTTTCCTTAAACATGTGGTTCAATAACACTTTCTTCAAAGGAACAATTCAATGTGTTAAAAGATTTAAGAACAAAGAATGTGCTGCAAAATGCAAATTCCTCCAGTGTTATACTGTGTATGCAATTATGTATGTAGGCAGATAGATATAATTTGAGAGTTATTAACTTTCAACATCAATGATGTACCCTGAATCAATACAATGTAACTACCTATTAAAATATAAACCAGGTGTGTTCCCAGGCAAATACAGTCTGAGAAGCTTTTCTAGAATGTTTTTTCTTTTTTTCTTTAAAGATTACAGCTCTACTATGGACAAGAAGCTCGAGAGATTGGTACTGGTCCTAAAGATGGAGATTGCTTTGCTTTTTCCTGGTGGTTCTAGAATGTTTCATTTCCCACACATTCGGGAAAAAAAATAAATTTTAAAATAATAAACAATAATGAAATGGTGTAAGGGGGACGAATTGTCTCACAAACATCCTCACATTTATGCACCTCCCGATGCATGGGAAGGAGAAAAGTTCCCTATTTCCATTTTTCCTTTGGCTCAAGGGAGGGAACGAAGGGAGCAGAAATCATTTTAAGCTTTGCCCTCCCGTCGGATGGACCCCTCTCGCAAATCCCTTTCTCCTGCCCGCCCTCCCTCGCTCCCCCGAGCACACAGCCCGGCGCAGTTAACCTTGGAGCGGCGCCGGGGAGGGAAGGGTTAATGAAACCCAGCTCTTTACGACCTCCAGGGTCAGACTCTTCCTATCTGCAATCTAAGGAATTAGGTAAGGAGGTTATAAGATTATAGTGAAAGGAGTTATAGGCCCTCGTAGCCTCACACCTGAACATATTGGGCTAATCCACTGGGATTCTTAAAAATCGCTTCAGCTATGGAAAACTGTTAATTAGGCTGAGTCTGTCCCGAGGTTTCCTGTTGCATTAGTGATCCAGCCGAGCTGCCTGCACTCTATAGGCTCACATGAAATACTCTTAATATGCCTATATTTTTTGTCCCTTCTCCACGACTGAAATCAGCATCAACCCCTGATCTCGGGGAAAAAAAGCAAAGCTGTGGGGGGAAATTCCGCCCGAGGGATGAACGAAAGTCACCCCTTCCAGTCC